TGTTTCTACTTAATTATAATTATGAGTTAGATGACCTTTGCTTCATCAAATTATGTCATCAATTTATGAATCTATCAGCGAAATAAGTCACTAATGGTATTAAGTCATTCATGTATAATTACCATTAAGCCCTAACTCTGAACATTTTTATTTTGGAGAAAGTTTGCAATGAATAAATTCATGGGTTATGTCCCAGATTTAAACATAAAAACTAAGAATGTAATATTTTCCAAATACTCTTGGTCTCCACCTTTTTAAATCCAGAGATACAATTAAAAAGGACCAAGTCTATATTCTATTATTCATCAGTATCTCGTTTATTCCAGCATTGCCCAATTTCTTCTTATTTTCCATTGAATTTATTGGTATTTTTTAGGTATACAGTGCAGTCACATTCATCATTGGGATCTTGTACCTTTACAGGACAGATCTTGGTTCTCAGTTTTGCTCCCTACCCAATTACTTCCAATTTTCTAGTATTGAAAGAAAAGGTGCAAAGGGGAAGGGGAATTGAAAGGGTTTGGGGAAAGGAAAGAAGGGGAATGGAATTAATATAATAAAATTAAAAAATTGAAACAAAGTCTTTGTAAATAGGGGGAGGTGCATGGGTTGAAGGAAGGGTAGGGGAATGGGGAAAAATAAGAACCAAGATAGATTAGGTAAAGGTGCAAATCTCCAATGATGAATGTAATTATATTGTACACCTAAAATGTACCAATAAAATAAAAAATCATTCAAACTGGTACAATTAATTAAATCTACCTATAGAACATCTACATATAATTTGGTAATAGCTTTATTAAAACTGAGATGAGTCAAAGTCACACTAGGAAAAAGAATTATTTATTTCAACAAAAGTATAATAGAAAAAAATACAGAGGAAAATTATTTTAATATTTTGCACATTTTACTTAATTCCCTTTATTCCAAATTTTAATTACTTATTTTTTTATAATACCAGATGTTTAGAATAGTTGATTTCAAACTTGCAATACTATTTTAGTTTTGAATTTCTGTGTTAATTCGATGTATGCATCAAAATATATAAAAATTATATGAAAGTATATAAGAGAAAGATTATTCAAATTCACAGTGATGATCTTATAAGAAACAAACAATTTTAGTTCAAAATAAGAATCCATTTGCAAATTTTATTTCATAAATTTTAAGCAAACATTAACATTCCCATCACATGTATATTATACTAAGGAGAATTTCTGAGGGAAAGGTCATATTAGTAATTTTGTTCTCATCTTGGACATCAAACCCAGGTCTTCCTTCTGGTACTTGTTTACTCTAACACTGAGACATGATCTCAACTTATAGACTAAGACACATTTGTTCACTATCAGATAGTGAAATTTAATGTATATATACAAAGACCAATACAGATTCTACTATTTTAGAACCCGAAAAATATATCTCAAAATCACCTGCTAATATAATCATTTTATTGCAAAACATTCATTTAAATATTACTTTTTACTTATTGAACTTCCCTGTTTTATCTTACAATTGTGTGATGGACTATTCCTAATTCCACATAGACTTACTTTTCTATAACTACTTTTGCATAAACATTTAATATTGTTTGAAAAATATTTTGTAATGAACTTAGTAACTTATTCATTAAATAACATAAAACATATAAATAAATAATATTGTTCAGATAGATTCAGTTGCTTGTCATATTGTTCAAAGAAGATTGACTATTCATAGATACATCTATTTGTGGACATTATCTAAGTTATTGATGGGAGTCTCATTGGCCAATAAAGACTGTGACAATGGCAGCTATTTTCTTGAGCTATATTTACCCATTGATGAAGAACTAACTCTACTAAACTTGTCTAAGACATTTTTGTAAAGAAGGAGAGGAATTAGAGGTAATAGTTAAAGTTTGTGCTAAATCATATAAAATGTTTTTTAAGCCACAAAATTTCAAATAGGAAATGGAAATTGATAATATGATTTGATTTGGAGTTTCTTGTTCTAAGTATATATATAT